GGGGGGGGGGGGGGGGGGGGGGGGGGGGGGGGGGGGGGGGGGGGGGGGGGGGGGGGGGGGGGGGGGGGGGGGGGGGGGGGGGGGGGGGGGGGGGGGGTCTCTTTCCTTGAGCAGACGGTCTTGAAAATCTGTCGCAACCTTGCAAGACAAGAGCAACACCTGCAAGGCAACGAATGCGCTGGACGCAGTCCACACCGGGGGGGCTAACTCTCGCCATTTCTGTGTGGCTTTCTGTCGTTCCGGGTTTCTTCAACCCAGCAGCAGTGGCAAAGAAACGGCGCCGACGTGGTGGATCAGGACAAGTAGACCGACCGGGGCTGACTCGCAAAGCCCAACACCGTTCATTCAGATGCGACCAAAAGCGATCAGAAACTGCTCAAGTTCGACCCCCTATACTGTAGCAGTCGTGGACACAAGCCGCGTGGTTGTGATGGTGCGTGCGACCCAAACACCAGGGGCCTGCTGCATCCACAGGCTCTTTCTCGTCGCTCCGACACCGATACCACACACGTATATGCCTTCGACGGCCAGACAAGCACTACTGCTAAGACCGCCGCCACTCCCGCCGTTGCCGCCAGCAACTATGGTCGCCAAAAAATAAGGGTTATCTACACATCCCTTACCTCTTCTTCGGCACCACCCTGCGCCGCGGCCATCTTCTTCTCGCTCATCACCCACCGCAAGAGTTCCTCCGACGTTCCCAGATACCCCGCCGCCCCGCCTATACCAGCACCGCCGCCCGTCGCCGACCAGCCCGCGCCGAAGGCACTCTGCTGCCTCGCATCGTCAGGCACGCCGGCGGCAGCACCCGTCTTCTCGACGCTCGCTGTTGTTTGCCCGGAGGCTCCTGCTGCCGCCTCCGCCGCTGCCGCCCCATCTTCAGCGCCCCCCCCGCTCGTCCGCAAGCTCAGCGCGATCGCGAGCATCAGCTGCTCTTCCTCCGACTCAGGGATCTCCGACGGGTAAACTTCTTCCCCTGCCCTTGCCACGCCGCCGCCGCCGCTGCCGCCGCCACTCATTGCGGCGGAGCCGCCGATCCCTGATTTGGCGGCGCTCCCTCGATAAAACGCCATCCTGGCAGCAACCCCCGCAGGCGCCTCCCCCTTGCCCTCATTCACGACTGGAGGCGCCACCCCCCCCCCCCCCCCCCCCGCCGCCGCCGCCGCCCCCGTGCAGTCTCCCCAGCCCGCCCGCCCGTGCTTCTTCTCACCTTCCGTTTTGTTCCCTTGCCCGGCTGCCGCCGCCGCCGCCGCCGTTGCTGGGCCGGTGTGTTCTGGTCCCGCAGCAGCAGCAGCAGCAGAAGCAGCAGAAGCAGCAGAAGCAGCAGAAGCCCCCTCTCCCGCGGCCGCCCCTGAACCAGCACCTCCTACTTCGCGCGTCGCGCTGCCGCTTCCCTGCGCCTCGGGATCCCACCAGCTGCCGGTCGAGAAGAAGCTCAGCGGCCCGCCGCCGCTGTCTCCTCCTCCAGCGGAGAAAGAAGAAGCTGGGCCAGCCCCCCCCGCTGCCCCTGAACCAGCACCGCCGCTGGAATAACCCGCCGCAAAAGGGGAAGCCGATGCAGCGGCGCCTGCGGCGCCTGCGGCGGCGGCATCCGACGACGGCTGCTGTAGGCGATCCCGGTAAGGAGAGGAGAGACGGGCTCCAAGAGAGGCTTCCTCAGCGGTCGTGCCCTGCCATGTCCGTGCATGCATGGAAAGGGGACAGGGAGCATGGGGGGCGTGGGTATGCACACGGGAAAAACAAGTGGGTGTGGTAAAAAGGGCGACATGTTTGGGTCGTTTTGCCAGGAGACTACACAAAACTTTGATTGCGCGCTAAAGCGACGGAAGCAACGGGTGGGTGCGTCAACTAGCGCGGGTCGTCCAACTAACGTGCCAAACTCATCGCCGCCATGGGCCATGCCATCGCGGTCGAGGTACGGCAGGTGAGGCTGTACGAATGAAGAAAAACGAGCTCGTGAAAAATGTTGCTGTCTCGCCACGGCAATGTGTTGATCGCCAAACTCCTCCACGCACAACTCGTTTGTTCGACGGTCTGCTGGCTGGCAGTACTTCTAAAACGTGCACCTTGCCGTGAACGATAGAGCAAGCTTCGACGAGCCGTGCAACCATCATTTGGTGCTGCGGACAGAGCAGCAGCTGGCCTGCAACTCCTTCGAGAAATCCACATCAAAGCAGTTGCACGCAGATTGCCGAGACACACACTACGTTCGCAGCCATAAAACAACGTGGGTGGGTACATCACAAGTTCGGATGCCAGCCCGACAATCCAAGCTGGCGTCGTACGTTGCCGCCCTGTGAGGTTGTCGTAGCAAGCAGGACGCGGGTATCAAACACGAACCAGACGACAGCAGAAAAAAACTGCGCTGTTCCTTGAGTACAACAGCCTCAAACGCGTTCATGTGTGGCTGCCCGTCGAGTTTTGACAAAAGTGAGGAAAACATCGTGGATATTGTATCTGGAACCGAAGGTCTTTTCTCTGATATGTTTTTTTGTCTCCAAAATATCGCCCTTGTTTTGCTACCGCGCTACACTTCATACCGGACTCCGGTAGTTTGGTCTGTGTGTGTTTCTCTCTCCCACCTGCCCAGTGGGAGAAGATCGCCTTGCAGATACAGCGGCGGCGGCGGCGGCGGCAGAAGTCGTGCTGGCAGAAGCGGAGGCAGCGGTCGCAGCTCTCATCAGGTCCCCAGACCTGCCAGAATACATGTATATTTCATTTCGTGGGGAGGGTGCCGGTAAGTGTGGGTGTTCTCAACGCTCTCGCAACACGTCGACCGAACCCGGTGGCTAACCGTATGGTAAGGCAGCTGCCTTCCCTTGGTGACCGCTGTTGACACAATTGGTGACATCGTGAGATGTTCGTTTCGCCTCTGCGGTCGCTGTTCGCAATGGTAATATCGTACTACATTTGCTTTGCCGTCGAGGCCGGTGTTGATATGGTGCGCCACATACTTTCCTCTCAGACCCGGCCGAAGCTATCGCAACGACCGAAACATGTGGAGTTAAACAACAAAAGTGCAACAACACTGGCATGAGAAAAACACCAAGAGTATCGAGAAACAACGAAACACCAGTGCACTCCAGTGTCCAGAACACAACCAAAATACCGGTTTTTGAAGACATGACAAATCCGTGAAGTCGAGTCGCAAAAAACGTCATTCGACAAGACACGCACCGCTCTCTCCTGGCCTGCTCCTCTAGGACGGACAAGCGGAGGGCCTCCACAAGCATAAGGTCCTCCACCTGCTGGATCTCGCCCTCGCCGACACCGTCCGCCTAACAATCATCAAGTCACAACACACACATACACATACACACACGAATCTAAGAAAGCTGAATGCACACTCGTATTGGAGTTTATATCTCTCTTACTGAAGCGTTTTGATTGGTCAGCCGGGTATGTAGTGCGGTCGATGCCAAGTCATAAAAACACTCATGCTCACTTGACGAAAGACAGACGTCTTCCGATTGGTCAGTCAGCTAGCGAGGTCGATGCAAGTTGAAACCACAAATAACATACGCAGTACAGCAGTACACACACAAAAAAAAAACTCGGAGGAAAACGAAGAAAACAGGAGGTAGGCATTCGTCAACACGTAATGCTGTTATACTGTTATACAAATACAAAGGACATCATTAACAAACACAGATGCAGCGGACAAGCGGAGACGAGAAGGGATGGGCACGATGAAGAAGCGACACATTTTTCTTGTTGTTCCCCGGCAGGTAAACCGGCCTTTCGAGAGAAGGGGATCAACACGCAAGCAGGCTCCCAACCAACCCGGACATGAACAAAAAAAAATGAAAAATATATATAAAAGACGCAGCTAGTTTGAAGGCACATATTTTGATGAGAAAATGATTAGTTCTGTATTTGGTCAACTACACTCACGTGAAATTCGTTTCCGCCGTCGTTGCCGCCGGCCCCCTCCAAGTAAGACCGACGCCTCCCGGGGCCAATGCGAGAACCCCTGCGGTTGTGGTGGTGGCGACCACTTCCGACAAATGATGGAATAGGGGCGAAAGCACGACATTTTTGCGGATACATCAAGACATGGGCAACAGGGAGGGAAGAGGAAAGGGAGAGAGAGCAAGAGAGAGAGAGAGAGAGAGAGAGAGAGAGAGAGAGAGAGAGAGAGAGAGAGAGAGAGAG